TACGGATAAATGGAAATGTAGTGAATTTGCGAAAACCTAGAATATCATCCGAACTTCATGAGCTATTTTCAGTTTTCATTTCAGTTTTTGAAACATGTATGGGAAGCACATGCCCCGAAATAAAAAATTTACATATTTATCCTTAGCACCGTTAATATTAAAAACACGCAAATGCGATTAAGAAGACTATCTCTTGAAATCAAGTGGCCAGATTTTCAAGTTAAAAAGTTTTTGAGAGAGTAGGTCATTTTTAAATATTTATCAAACATTTGAACGCGCTATTGACATATATTTCGTATGCAAAGTAAATTGAATAAAAGTAACAAAACACCAAAGGGTTATTGTGACATATCATAGAGTTTTTAATTTATGGTGGCATGATGACTGCCTTAGTAGAGATAAAGCCACGCTGGGTATGCTGGGCTGATTTCTCTTCATTGCCCAGGTTGCAATGGAGGGAGATATATTGGCAAATAGAACTGATATAAAAAATACATGAACCAGTAATTGCTGATTTCGGTTGCTTTAAGTTGAATGCAAAGCTCAACGTCGAAGAATATCAAATCTCAGTAAAACAGCCGCTGCGATGAACTTTATCAAATACTGACAGGCGAATGGCAACCACACAGAACTTCATCAAAAACTTCATGTATCAAATCGCCCATCGTTGAGGAGTGTTTCTTGAAACGTAGAAGTTTCAAAAGCGTTTTGAAAATAAGAGAGATCTCAAAACGTTTAGTGTTACAAAACCAAAGAAAGGGAAACACTACCCACCATCAATTGTTAAAAGATCCTCCTTCAGCGATGCACTTATGAGTCTCTGTACTCTACAAATTCAACTCTAAGGACGATTTGGACTGTATTATTCACACTTTAATATAAAAAAGGGTCGTATTTTATTATTTACCATAGGATCATAAGATATAGAATATTAATGAAGGCTCTTCAAGTAAGCTTTCTTTCCATCGATGAATGAAAATATCTCAAGTTTCGCCACTCCTATAAATTTCACAACCGTATGGCTGGTTTCTTTTCCAGCTTTAACAAAAGGAATAGAGTACAAACCAGTCGGATAACAAACTTTGATCTTATTTTCTATTCGTACACTGGAAAAACACATAAGTTCTGTCTGTAGAGTCAGTTAGTAATTATTCACTGAAGTTGAGGTAAATAGTGGTAGACATTATCTCTATTACTTTCACCGACAAATTTATTTACTGCAATCATTAAACCGAAAAACTTGAAGAACTAAAATGAAATATTTACGTTCATAAGTGCAGCTTTATAGAATGTTTTAAATAAGAATCGCGATGTTTTTCAAAGCAGTAAGACCCCCCGTCAAGTTCGACTGTCAAACATAAGAGCCCTTCTGTGGCGGTGACTATTTAACAAATAGAGAAGCCTGGACTGTGTTCTGTTCTGTTATGAAGCACGCAGGAAGCGGCTAGAGCACGAAAGAAGTGTAGGGAGAAACACGAGACGCAGTCGAGTGTTTCTCCTCACTTCTTTATTGAACATCAGTGTCGTCAGCTTGCTCTATACTCTCATAAAGCACGCAGCAATAAGCCAATCAGAATCCCTGTTAGAATGGTTCAAATAATCTGATTGGCTGTACAAGACTAAAGCTGTCAAAAATTTCAAATCATCAAAGTTCAAAAACCATCAAAGTTCACATTCTGCGTTAGTGTACAAACTTAAATAGCTCGGCAGGTCGAATTTAACACTTTTGCCTGAAGATTTTTAGTCTCTTCTACAGAATCTGAAAGTGATATGTTCAGTGAACTTCTGCCGAATTGTGGCTCATAAAAACAAACAAGTTTTTTCACATGACAAGTAGAAAACAAAGTGTATAAGGCAAAAGTTTTAGGAATGAACGACAGCCGAATTCACCGGAATATGAAAATCGCTCGTGATGACAACACCGTTGAAAAAAAACTAGCCTGCAAGCTCTTATTTTTTCACTCGAAGGGCGGCCGATGTAGTTTCTGAGGCTTGCTACATTGCGATGACCGGAGATCGCCATGATGATCGCAGTCGCTCTGACACCGTCATGAGCTGTAAGAATTTTAACAGTTAGGCCAGTTTTGTCATATCTTTCACCATTCCTGTTTTGTTCTGTTTTGTTTTTAAAGACAAAACTTTATATACTATGCGAGTGTGAGCTGTGTTTGTTTTTTGTTACCGCACATAAGCTTGCAATCTAACTGAGCGTGAAACCCTTTCAAACTCGGTCTGTCCATTTTGTTTTCTCTTTGAGGATTTTCGACTCTGACATGGCGCCTGGCATGTTTACAAATCTTGGTTTGGTTCCTCCGTTGCTACTTGCCGTCTCGCTTGTTCCGAAATTTCACTTTCAATTATCGAAAAAAAGCTAGAGAGAAGCCCTGGAAAGGTCGGACATATTACAATTTGGCAGATGGCGTGACAGCTTCAGCTCAGCTCCATGCTCTATACTTTCCTTATGGCAATTTCTTTCCTTCTCTAAATCTCATCGCTAATGGCTTCATATCTTGATTGGCATTATTGAGCTCTCATTTGCTTTATTTGGACTGAGGGAAATATGATTATATATACAAGCAGTCATCCTTACACATCACATGTAACAAACGAATGGTGGCAAAATAAGGCGCATAGCTCCCTAATTATCTGTAATTGTCATAATTATCTACACAATTATCTCTTGGCCATGAATCAGAGTTGAACCATGAAGGGAAGGCTGTTAAAGTCATTAAGGTGCCAGTTCGAGTTAACCCGAGGTGGATACACTTACATGATTGCTGTATCAATCAATTGCTGTTTGGAAAAACCTGAGATGAAAAAATGGTAAAATATCACAAAATCTTTCTCAAACTCTGACCCTTCTCTAGAAAGATGTGCAAATAAGGAACATAGATGATAATACTGGACGCTTGTTATCATTGATACTCCTTCACATTGTGTATATTTTGAACAGGAACCGGATGATACGAATTATTCAAAACCGTATGCCATCCATTCACAGTTTAAAAGCGTCAACTAGAGAAGGCGAGATTAAGGTCAGAACTCATCATTGAGTAGTCTACTAGTGATCAAAACTGGAAATAATAGTAATAACACTGAAATAAAATATCACCCGAAGCAATTTTACTGTTTCTCCAGACATTGTTGTTGATGTTAAGTTGTTTTACAATTTTTCTGTAGTCATTTAACACAAACGAAGACACACAGCCAGGTCTTTAAATGATCGTCCGTGAAGTTGTTTTTGCCAACTGATAATAACCAATACTTACCCATTTGAAAAAACGTCATGAAAAAGAATCTATATATGGTAGAAATTCAACATAAACACGGATGTTATCAATCAAACACCTTAATTTTTTGTGAAAGTTAATGTAATGGAATCATTTCGCATTGAAAAATCTTCAATGTTCACAAATGTTACGCGGTTAAATTTTTCGTTTTCGTTGCTTCTTTCTAACTTGTGACGTAAATATGCTTGATTTAGAAGCCAGAAATAATCGTAACTCACCGAGGACAAACAGAGCCGAAACCTTTTCGAGGAGATGCTTGCGAATAATTTTTTCCAAAAATGTTGTTGGACGGCCTCGTTCTTGTTCTCTTGTATGTAGTGGCTACTTTCTGATTTCTGGAGTATAATTCAGTTTTGAATGCGTGCATTATATATTTTGTTTACATCAGGTAAATGGACAAAAAAATGATAGCGACAGGAACACTAAAGCAGATCCTTGGGAAAATTTGAAAACATGAACGACCAAGACGAACAAAAAAGAAGGAAGTAGACAAATCCATTATTTAGTTCTAAACTGATATGATTGTTGCATCAGTTAACTGCTGCTTGGAAAAACCTGAGATGAGCCAACGCCCAGAACGTAAGCCTGCATGTCAAAATTTTTCTTAATCAGCGCCACGTTGTAATTGATAAGTGATAGAAAGTTTTACTTACGTTACTCACTCAACTTTTCGATATTTTCAAGCGAGAACGAATAATTGAACCAGTTGTTTTTTGACCAACTTGTTTTAATCAACGCAGTTTGCCACTGATATTTCATTCACAGTTTCAATCGCTCAACGATGTGTAAAGTTTCGCTCATAAATTAAAATATTGCATGAAAAAATTGTAAAAATATCACAGTCGTTCTCAAACTCTAACCTTTTTCTACAAAGATGTGCACATAAGGAACATAGTAGTCATTCACCTCAAACGAAGACAGGCAGCTAGGCGTTAAGATCATCGTCCGTGAAGTCCTATTCAAGTAAACTTAGTGCAACTATACAATTTAGTCTTCGTCTTAAACTATGCAACAGTTGGTGTTTACCCTTGATTGTTCTAACACCTGAAGATAATATATTTCAATTTTTTATGCTTTTTTATTTAATTTAGGATCATGTTATATCAGTTGCATGTGTATGTTACCGATATAAGTTTATATAAAAGTTCGTAAGGCGTATTTGAACATATTCGTATGATAGCTTGCGCATACAAGCCATGAATCATTACTTAACTACTACTACAGCGCAATTTTCTTCCTGCTTTTCAAAAGGGAGCCAGGATTGCATTAGCTTTGCATTTTTGGTATAGAGAATTCGGGATAATCTCCTACCTAAGCAATGCATAGCTAAAACAATCACAGATTACAACGGTTTGCTTGTTAGTCTTTGAATTCTTAATGGTTCTTGTGATATCGCATTTTGTTCTGACTGGCTATCTTTATTGTTTCGGTTTGACAACACTCATTGAAAAATCGTTCTATCAACATCATACTAACAAACATCTTATGGGAAGCGGCTGTAACGAGGTTCAAAAGCAATTTCTTCGATTTCAAAAAAAAACATTCCGAGAAATTAAAGGCCTATGTTGAAAAAAACAAAACAAAACAAAACAAAAAGCAACCACAACCAATAAAAGTCAGAACCCTTAAAGAAAAACAAAAACCTTGTCTAATACTCACAACTCATTCTAGTTTTAGTAGATTATTGGAACTTAGAATAACCTATTCATGTTAAACCCCAAACCAGTATTGCGTTGTAGAAGGATCCGAAGAGGAGCAGCGGTGATTCGTATTTATCGCTCCAGAACGATACCGTCCAAAATTATTTTCGTTATCAATTGCTCCTAGTGACCCATCAAAATCGCATTCGTTTTCCTTGCTTTTGAAACTGTTCACGAACCAAGCACCATTAAGATCCATTCTTGTGTAGGCGGTGCAATCAGAACAGTTAATTCCACGGATGTTAATGTACTCAAACAGTTTGCAATCTCCACCCCAGTCACCGAATATGTCATGACCTGCCAGAACTGCGCGTGCGTAGTCCGTATACTGCAGGCCATCTGCAGGTAAGTTGCATGTAACTCTCAGATATGTGGAGTGATTTGAGAGAGACTGCATATGTGATAAGGAAAGGCGGTAAGAGTTCCAGTCCGGTTCATTGTTATTGTCATTCACAGGGAAATCCGTGCCAAACCCCTTATCCTTATATGTGGCCTTATTGGCAATGGAGAACGACTGTATGAGTGCCCATACAAAGCCAGATTCTGAGTGCAAGTCACAGTAAACAGAGAACGGTTTATCGGCTGAATCAAAAATATCGTATTTTCCTGATTGTGAGGCTCCGTTGTTAGCGATGTCTTTGCAGTTTCTTGGATGTGTAGTCTGACCACAACGCTTACCAGTGTATTTGTAAGAACAGGTGCAATTAAACCTGGGGCTGTGATTGTCACAAATCTCCTGACATACTCCCCCGTTGAGGCAGGGATTCTGGCTGCAGCATCTATTAACGCAGCGATGTATCCCTGGAATGTAGCTTCCTCCACCCTAATTGAAAATGAACCTTTTTTCCTTAAACTATTCCTCGATGCAGGTGTTAAGAAATAAATTTGGGGGGTTGAGGGACGTACAAAAAAGAATTAGTCTTACCGTGCGTATATCAAGTTAGGGATGCACGCGGGAACTAAGTTTTAAGAGCACGAGAGAAGCGTAAGAGTTGCCTGAGTGCTCTTCACACTTCACAAGTGCATCAAAAACTCAATACACGCACAGCTAAAGCGTGAACAAATTTCATTATAACATAGCATGCAGACACAAGTTGTGCTCGAAAAAAAAAGAGTTTATTACAACTTTGTCCGATTTACCAGGTAATCGCGTTCTACCCGAAAACTATGAATAAATGACAGGGTAAAAACGACCAAGAAATATTTCGAGACCAAATCTTTATTCAAAGAATTGTAAATTTTCTGCTCCAAAGCAAAAACGAACGAATTTCTTGCATGCACGAGGGCGTGTAGTAGATTCAACATGCTTGAATCGTTGTTTACTAGAATTCAAGGCCAGAAAATTGCGTATATTTGTGTTGGAGATTTTGAGAATTCTGAAATTATACGGTTTTAAAATAAAAATCTGCTAATGAACAATAATTTTAGGATATATCAACACTTAAAACTGGTATCAACAGTTCAAAAAACGAAGCAATAGCCTATAAATTTCTCGCATTTACGAGACACCTGTGATAGATTTACGCTGCTTGAAATGCCGCTGTTTACTTGAACTTACTACCCGAAAATTGCTTAGCTTTGAACCACAAATTCTGAAAATCGTTCGATTTCGAGAACAAAATCTTCGATTGAACAAAACTTTGGTACATATCAACGCTTTAAAATAATATTTTCCGTTCTAATGAAGAGTTCTCAGCGTGGCAAAGCCTCAGTTGAAGTCAAAAGACTTAGTTCTGTTTTCAGCCATAATTCTCATCGCGTTTGTGAGTAAAGTGTTGTCAACTCCGAAATCAATTACGTCGCTCGAAGAGCTACACGCTCATTGTGTTTTTGTCGAAACGAGTTTTATTCAGCATTTTTTGTTTTCATTTTGAGATACAAAGGTCTATCTCAGTTGGGATAAAACGGAAAAACAATCTTCAGTGATAGTATTGAATTCTCGCGGCTAAACAAGACGGAACTTTTAGCCGAAGTGAAACTGCACACTTCATGTTATGGATGCACGGACGTGCACTAAATATACATTAAGTACTTTGTTATATATTTAGACTTTCCCTTAAACAATCATATGGCAAAAACATGCTGTTGTATTCGGCGCGTGGGCAACAACTGCGCAATTGTATCCCGGTCGGAATACATTTGAATTTGATCAGGGGCACGTGACCAAGAATTAACCTATCACAGTCTCGTTTTGTTGAGGAAAAGTCTAGGTATATAACATGGATTCTTATTACAGTAGCTTCCTTAAGATATAGGTAGGCCTTGCACGTGCGCTATGTTGTGATAAATATGTAAGTAAAAAAAATAATAAAAAAGGCAATTCTATTAACAACTAACGATTCTATCTCTCACCTTCACCGTGTAGCTTCTCACTAAATCATAATAATTTCCTCCTTGACTCCATTTCATCGCCGCTGGCTCCATGTCTTTGTTAGCGTTGTTGAGCTCACAGTTATTTTCTTTGGACAGAGGGAAATAATTCATGGATACACACAGGCAGTCATCTTTGCACTTCATGTGACACTGAGTGGCGCTGTGGACTGTCAATCTTTGAAACACGTGACCCTCAAGAATGTGATTATAGACGACATCCTCATCGATAACAAACTTGAAGTTTTGACAATTTATTGTTGGCTGCGCCCCTTTGATGTGAGTCAGCTGAGATACCAACAACATCGCATGTAGATGGCGAAGAACACTCATGGTGGACCTACGAAACGTACAAATGAGATGGATATCTTCATTCCATAATTATACCGAGGCATTTAAAATTTAGTTAGTAGCAGGCGGAGTCTACTAAGAAAAAAAGGCAAAAAATCGTGAATAGGTACGTGATCGTACTATGGTGTAAACGCGACTCGACCTCAGGTTACGATCAAGATCTTAACAAGCGCCTTAAAAGTTGTCTCTTCTTTTGACGCGAACGTGATTACGTAATGCTTATTGAGAATGGGGCCATCGTTCTCCAGGATCGAATATCTCGGTGACAGATTAAATAACTTATATTGAAAATTAGCCGAGGTTGAAATGAGAATCTGAGCTACAGTGTGCATGGCGCACCAGATATATTTTGCTGTGTCGATAATAGAAAAAAGTAACTTTAAACTTATCGAATAGGTCATGCCGCATCATTTTAGTTTTATTCAATCAACGGAGTAGAAACAAATTACATGTTGTCTCCCTTCAGTAGTTCAGTAACAAACTTTTGGTTTTAACTGAGTACCATCTCTCTTCACTTACCTCAAAATGTCGATTCGTTTTATGGCTTCAGTAAAATCCTTCGAGAAAGGTTTGCGGGCGAACAGATGTTGTTGAAACTATATGTATGTCCGGTAATATCGATGCACCTTTATACTTAAAAAATAATAGAAAAACACGATAATGAATCAATTAAGATCATTGGCTCTGTTTACGACGTTACCTAGAAGACACCCGAAATAAACAATGGATAAGATATTGCAATACTGTTGACACAGAGTGCTTCACAACTAAAAATTTGCATCAAATAACTGAAATCCGTCATATTTACAGCGGTGATCAAAATCTGATTACCCTTTTTAAATGTCGGAATCTTTTAACTTTTTTATGTCAAAAGACCCCAACTTTTCTGGAAAAGTCAACACAGTGTCCCTCTCAACATTAGCTTTCTTTCGGCTCATATTAACAATGTTTGTTTTCTGAAGTAATTAACCACACACGAGGACCACCACAGCAAGCCATAAAAACAATGTCCGTGGAACAAAGGTTGTTTGTTGCCATCCACCGTTTCCTAAATAAGTAGAAATGAGAACTGTCCAACATTAAATTATAGAAACAATTCAAACTACCAGTGACCTCCTGAGCTTAAACGTACTGCAAGAACACTAATTGATACAGACAACAATAACTAAGACAGCAGTAGTAGCGTGAGTTCAAAAAGACATAACTGAAATTAAAACTGCCGTCAAACCATCACACAGCTGGATTGCATGCTTAATGAAAAAAGCTAAACTGTGTGATAATCGTGATCGTTTTTCTCCGTTACAAATTTATTCTTCGCAGAGTATCCATAACCAAAGCAATCTTTCTTCGATATCGAGTTCGTTTTCATTCAAATTATATTTTTTCTCGTCCGACCCCATCAGACTCAATGAGTCAATACGTATTTCGTCGTTTACCGGTAGGACCACCACAAAAAAGATTCTACAGTAAAATCGATTCCTTTATTTATTCGAGTCTTACAATTCATCGAAAAAGCGACTTCTTTCATCATTTATGTTTTGTTTACTCAAGTCCAACATTAGAAGTAATGTTCTTGGAAAATGTGGCAGAATCATGCGACTGCATGGCGAAAGGCTATTCGGGAGTTTAAGATGTCACCACGGCGACGTGTGGTAAAACGTTCCTGAAGAAAACCTTATTCATTTTCCTCTAAGTTTCTCACCAATAGCTTGATGCGTTAACCGTTTTTGTTATGCTGAAGTTGAGGTCTGGTGCCGTATGAGGCAGTAAACTCCTGCAGCCATTTTTGAAATTCTAATTAAAGGCAGAAATTCATTTAATCGAAGTCTTCCTCGGTGTTGCCGTCTTGACTGCTTAAGGTCCCTTTTGTTCTGTATGGGACGGAAATGTACAAATTTTAAAACGCACGTGTTTCGCTATTGTTTTGCTCATTAGATCTTATGTTGCACTTCGTCCTCGTTTTCGTCACCTTCGTGGTTTTTTTTTAAAAGGGACCATAAGATCCGACGACGGCAACGGCGAGGTCGTGAACTGGGGGGAATGGGGAGAGGTCGCCGTCGTACGGCGCGAAAAATAACATTAAGAACACTCATGGAAGACGCAGTCTGTTCCATAACAGGCTTTTGGTTTATAAGTGAAAATATGGCATCCTTTAGAGATATACTTAAACTTCTCCTCGAAAGTGCTGATGACGATGATATTTCCAAGGACGAATTTCTTCTTCTTTACGATGAAAACATCTCGAAAAAAACCCATATTTCCCTTACGATTGTTATGGAGCGTTCGACTTAAATGAGATGGACGACAGCGAGTGTTTGGCTGAGTTTCGATTTCATAGGAATGAGCTTCCCCTCCTTTTAGAGGCCTTGCAGCTCCCTCAGTCTTTCAATTGTCACCAAGGAACCATTCGTAATGGGGTAGAAGCGCTTTGTATAAGATTGAGACGATTTGCTTACCCATGCAGATACAGCGATTTAATTCCACGATTTGGTCGGCCGGTTCCGGAGCTGAGTATGATTTCCAACCTCGTGATTGATACATTCTATCAAGAGCACAATCACATAATGACTCAGTGGAACAATACACTGCTGAACCCTCCACTTCTTGAAAACTATGCCCGTGCGATAAATTTAAAGGAAGTGCATTACTTAATTGCTTTGGTTTTATAGACGGAACAATAAAGCCCATTTGTCGACCCGATGAAAATCAGGGGGTCGTTTATAATAGACATAACGAGTGCATAGTCTCAAGTGCCACTCTGTTGTCTTATCTAATGGTATGATAACCAACATGTACGGCCCAGTATGTAATTGATTTAATCTGATTCGTTGCCCTTGCTTTTTTTTTTTTTTCTTCTTGAGGTTGGGATTTGAAACTGTACACCCCAACCTCAGCTAACTAAAACACTCATTTTTTTTCCTCTTTAAGAGGGTTCCTCACGATCTGGGGCGGCATGGCTTCTCTACAACAAGAGAACCAATGGCCGCGTAGGTGACCCCGCCTATCTCCTACGTGTCCACCTCCAGGTCCCTTACAGAGGTGCCAGAATAGCACCAAAAATAGAGTTGTACAACAAAGAGTCTAAAAGTTTGTTATACAATGTAAGATTTTAGGTATAAAAACAAACAACAACGTCAAATATAAACTTGCCTGATAAATGATTTAAATGCTGAAACAAGCATTCACAGCAAAATCAAAGATATTATGAATATCTTTATGCAAATTTAAGCCGAGTTAATCTTGTTTTTCTGAGGTAAACATCTGCTGAAAACTTTGCATCTGCTCAAGTTGCTGCTTAGTTTGTTCCACTAATACCTTTAGCATATCCTGATGATGTTTTCTTGGTTGATCTTCCTGTTTACCCTCAACTTCAACTCGTTGCTTTTGCAGCTGCAATTCTCCTTCTTTCCACTTCTGAACGCGATCATTTTTTTCACGCAAATATGCAATTGTGTCAACTCCACTTCTACAACTTTTTTTGCTTTGGTTTCACTTCCTCCTCCTCTTCATTCCGCTGCCTTTTCTGAGTTCTTCTCAGGTTTTCTATAGCCTCTGTTTCTCATTTCCGCTGCTTTTTCGTTTTCAGTTGTCTTATTATCGTTTTCTACGGTGTCTTCAGCTGCAGCTGCGACTATTTATTCCAGAGCCTTTTCCAACTCACTCAAATGACATTCACACTTGCCTTCTCTTCGTCTTTCATCATTGTTTTAAATTTTCCCTCAGCAGTATGTATCTTTCTCTAACAGCACGCTTACTGACTTAGAATCGGGGAAGCTTGAGGCCGTTCTGATTGTTTGCAATTTTTTCCCTGATTTTGCCTTTAGAAATGCTTCCTTTTTTGCACTTAAAGGGTTCAGGTACTAAAATTTCTTGACAAAAGCAGTTGCCATGTCCCTTGGTCCACTCCATGTTTGATCTGAAAAACCACAATAATATCTAGCTTCAGCGATTTTTTCCTTAAACAAACTCGGGTAAATTATCTAGATTAAATTCCTGGTTTAGTTTTAATATTCATTAACAATATGAACTGAAAACAACTTGCTGAACTGTCCTATTTGAACTCGTCTCCATTTAGGCCTATTTGAGTCACGAACTTTTAAAGCTGTTTAGAGGGAGAAAAAAACTTCGGTCAGTTTTCGCCTTAAAATGAGTTCTACAACCATTTACAGTTGTCACAAAATTGGAAAAATGTTGACAGTTCATCATATATTGAAAATATACGATAAGTTACTTACGTTTTAGACAAAAGAAAAACACTTCGTTTTGACGTCGCAGACAACACAGTTACGGCGGGAAACTTCGCGCGCCGGCTACCGGAAATGCGCAGGCAAATATTTTAAACTTCCGCTCGCCGTCGTAGACATCCGTCGTCGTCCCTAAAGTCGCTATTTGCGGATGGGCTCACGTCAACCTGTCGGGCCCTACATTTATTAAGGTTTCAGCCAATTCAGAGACTTTCATCTACTATTTCGCCATTATTGATGCGTAACATGACGAAGAGCTAATGCTCGAAACGTCAGCTTTTTTACCCTTTATGGTGGCTAATTTACGTTTTCAACTCACTTTTTAACTCTAAATTACCTGTTATACTCTCCCACCGACGCAGCACCACAGTTTCCTCAGAAACTTACCCCCTTTATTCATGTACAATGTAGCCATTCAGAATATGGAGTTACCGTGTTTTTGGACCGAAATCTGGCAGCTCTTGTTCAATAGGGAACAATACGAGTCAGAATAGGATTATGATTTTGCATGTTCACCCCCGAGTTAATTAGTCTTTTGGTTACATTAACAGCAAACTGGTGTATGATTGTAGATGTCACTCATAGAATTTACAAAATTACAAAAGATTTTATTAGGGTTTGTGCAGAATTTCGACTTTGGTTTAACTAAGACGGCAGTTTGAATCTCTCCTCTTGTATATTTCCCGAGAGTGTATGTCATACAACACCTTCTTCTATCACGGGGTGTTTTTACCAACACACAAAACAGGAACAAATTACACTTGAAGAAAGCCCAGGAGGGCGATCAGTGAGCAATGTCGTAAAAGGATATGTGACAAGATCCACAGTGTTTTGTCTTTCCAACTACATAACGGAAAAAATGGCGTTAAATATCAATGACCGTCAATCTTAACTTGCACCAACTTCAGTCAATACATATCAACGAAAGTCTTCATTAAAAGTGCTCTACCAGAGAACACATGTCCCCGAGTTGATTTGATCCAAGCAATACAAACGACTGATTGTCTCAGTTGCTTTCAAGACTACAATTACTATAGAAATTCATGGTCATTATTACATTGTCACCGCTAAAATGCAAAAATGAAACGCGAGTGTAAGTTAAAAGGTTTCGTTCCAATGATTACTAGCACATTGAATTAAGCTTTGAAAACGAGAACTATCTCAGATACATAGAGATGATTCCTTGGAGAGTGCGTACGAACGATTTTTATTCACGGGTTGCGATAAACCATAAAAAAAAAACCAGTGAGCGCAGCGAACAAAAAAGTTTTTTGATGAATCGCGTTTTCCATGATATGAAGTTTTTATTTCATTCATACTTACATTTTTTCTCACCGAACAAAAAATTTAAAAGATTGGAAGTAAACGACTTTTAAACGAAGAATGTGAAAAAGACGATTTTATCGAACTTTTGACTTTTAAATTGTAAGCGTATTATCTATGGAACACATGAATAGTGAAAGTCAAAGTAAAAGTGTTTGTGGAAAGACCACCTAAAAACGCAAAATTCAACTATTAAAATATGGATGCTGAGTATTTAAGGTTGCCCTCTTTTGATAAAGAGTCAGTGTAACTATCTGAAATGTTAAACGTTTAGTTCAAGTTCAATCCCTAAGGTGGACCACACTTGAAAGCATACATATGATGTCAATGTTTGTTCTTAGCCTTGCTCCAATGGTTTCTCAGAGTCGTATTTTGTTGGCTGAGTTTTCTTTTTTAAGAAGAAAATGAATCCACAAAAAGTTACACGTCATATTTAGCTCCAAACCAGTGCTGGGTTGTGGAAGCAGTTAAGGAGGAGTAGCCGTGATCCTGATTTATATCGTTGCAGCTATACTCTCCGAAATTGTCTTCCTTGTTGATGAGTCCTCCTGGTCTTCTATCAAATTTAAATCCCCTCTCAATGCTATTGTAACTCCATATGTGCCAGGATGCCTCCTCCGACATTTCCAATTTTTTCCTTGCTCTTCAATATCACTAAAAGCAATTAAACTGGAAGAGACTAGAAACAATGAAAAGAGCTCGCCATGATTTGTTTTTCATCAAGAAAAATCAGTACTTACAGCTGGGTGTCAAAACTTGTTGTCTCCACAATTAGAAGGGTAAAAATTGTATTTTGATACGTTTCCAAGGAGGAATTGAGTGTAATTCAGTTGAATAGCCCTTTTTTTCTTTTAGTCCTTCACATAAGTGTCTTAATAGCTAAAAAAAAGGAGTTTCACCTTTTTTTTTCTTTGTTCTTTTTTCTTTCTTTTTTTTTTTTTACATTCGTGGGAGGATATACGTCACAATGTGTCTTTTAATTATCTTTGGAAGAGTGATTACAAACAAATCAAGTAATTTCACAACAAGTAGCGGTAGACACCAGCGACAGACAAAGGAGATCGCCAATACCTTTTAATCTTTCAACTGTCTTTCATTCAGAAAAATAGATACTTACAGCTGGGTGTCAAAACTCCTTGTCTTCCTATTGAAAGGAATGAAATAAACCACAGTTTCCTTCGTTTCCATAGAGGAATTGACTTTGTTACAGTTAAAAGATGCAGTTAAAAAATTAACATGAATTATGAATGATGGTCGATCCGGCTCCAGCTCTATATTTTTGGTTGAGCTCTTTGTAAAGGGATCCACAAAAGCAAAGGTTCAAAAACTGAGAAACAGTCCAATTGGAAATTACCTCACTCAACCCTACTTACTTTTGTATCTGCCGCCTTTAAGGATATTTCAATTGGGTTTCTTTTAAGTTATTCGTACATTAAAGGAGCTGAATGTTTGCAATGACTTTTTAAAAAAGTATTAGTATGCAAAGAGAAAAATAGAAAACAATTTAAGGATACGGTGCAGAAACACTAAAATTTAGTTTACATCACGCACAAAACTAATGTTCCTGGTCGGCTCAGTGTCGTTTCTCAAAAAGTGCTTCATCTTCATCCCTTGAGTCTCCATCATGCTGTTTAGTATGGACAAGTTTCGCTCATAGCATAATTCTTCAAAATTTGCCCAACAAAGCGACGTTTACTGCCTAGTTGGATCATTAAAATCGTGTCTTTGTCTGCGGAAAAAGTTTACCCATTTTCCTCTCACAGTCGGGATCGTTCGGGAACTGAAACATTCTATGCCCGGTGCCGGAACGATCTATTCTGACAGTTTTGCTGGTCAGAGCCGGGGCACCAGCGACACAATATCGCCCTCGGTGTCGCGTATCTTTCATACTATTCGCCATACTGAATTCGATTTAATGTCACCAAAGTGACGTCAGTGGTTTTTGGTCAAATGGTACTTTGGCTACGCAATTCGAATACCATTTTTGAGGGGAAAATGGCATAACTTTAAAAGCTTTCAAAATTGTCAATTTTATCATTGAACGTTTCAAACTTCGGAAACGTAGATTTCAAATAACAAACTTTATAACTACAATAAACCTTCATGGTCACTTGGATTTGTATTTAATAGTGTATTGACAGCGCGTCCAACAGTGTAATGTCGCTGTAAATCCACAAGCTTAAAGTAAAAGTTTGGAATGCGACCTTGAAAAAGACGAACACAAGTTCGTAACATTACGATGAGCAACAATCGTTCACAACTAATATGATAATATAATAAGATGATGTCTCACATTATGTACAACAATACATGGTGCTTCTCTTGACAAACACCTGCTCCAACTACTATACTTACTTCATCTCCTACATTTTGAACATTTCAAAAATTGTTTCATGAACAAATGTGTAATGTTATAATGTAAGCAGTGATCCTAACGAAGCACTTAAGTGCATTAGTCTTTATGAGAGAGAGGCTGTTGAGGGCTTCTCGCAGTTATGTATCGAGTCCCTAATATTAAAATCAAGTAAAGCTGTACATATTTATCAATTAGGAGAAATTAATAACATCTCCCTGCCACTAAGTAAATATCATTTCTCCTCACTGTACGGATTTTTTAAAGCGAAATCAAGAAACCTAAACTTAAAGCTTGGTTTTACTAATGATCAAACTAACGGAGCCGAAGCTAATTTTCAATTATCAGTAAATAGAAAACGGTTGATTGACCGAGTCAAGAAAATGTCACCTTACGACGACAAAACATGTCATAATTAGATTAATAGCATACGGAGGTATTTAAACATCTCTGAATCTAAACACAAGCATTTCAACTTACGCTTAGTCACTTGCTTGAAAAGAATTTGCATAAATCAACTGATGGTGAGCCCTGAATGCGTTTTCATGCACGAATATGAAGAAAGCCAATTTTATCGACCTTTGACTTTTAGGATGTAAGTGTACTATCTATTGAACATTACATGAAAAGATGAAAGTGCAGGTAAAAAGTGTTTGTAGAGAGGCCACCTACTTACTTCAACTATTGAAATATAGACGCTGTGTACCTAAGGTTGCTTATGACGTCGCTCTTGTGCACGTCTGCATTCTACTGTAATAAAGAGTCGGTGTAACTATCTGAAATATTAAACGTTTAGTTCAAGTTCAACTCCTAATTGGACCAAACTTGGAGGCACATGATGTCATTGTTAGTTCTTAGCCTTGCTCCGATGTTTTCTTGCATTCAGTTGGCTTTGTTTCCTTTTCTGAGAAAGGAAATGAATTTGCAAAAAGTCACACGTCACATTTAGCTCCAAACCAATGCTGCGTTGTAGAAGCAGGAGAAGACGAGCAGCGGTGATCCGGATTTATATACAGCTTGTGAAATTTTCCGAAATTTTTTTCATCGGGGACTCCACCTGGTTTTCCATCTAATTGACATCCGAATTGTGTGCTTCTGTAACTCCTTATGTGCCAGGACACATTTTCCTGCTGTTTTTTCAGGGCGGTGCAATTAGAACAAGAGTTTCCCCGGATATTAACATATTCGTACATCTGGCAGGTGTCCCAGGTACCAAAAATGTTATGACCTGCCAGCTTAGCGCGTGCGTAGTCCGTATACTGCAGACCATCCGTAGGAAAGTTACAAGTTGCTCTCAGATGTGTGGAGTAAATAGCAAGAGACTGCATCTGTGATAAGGATAGTCGGAACTCGCTCCAATTCACTTCCCCCTCTCTAATGTCAATCTCAAAGTTTTTGCCAAACTCTGCATAATTGAAGGCATTTCTCTTGGACAAGGATAACAATTGTATTAACGTCCATACAAAGCCAGGTTCAGACTGCAAGTCACAGTAAACAGAAAACCGTTCATTGTCTGAATTATAGATGTCGTATTTTCCTGATGTCGAGGCACCGTTCTTAGCTACGTCTTTGCAGCTTCTCGGATGTTTCATCTTCTCACACTGCTGACCAGAGTATGTGATAGGACAGGTACAGTTAAACCTGATGCTGTGAGCGTCACAAATCTCTTGACATACACCTCCATTGAGACAAGGATTGGTGCGGCAACATCTGTCGATGCAATGATGCTTCTCTGGTGTGTATTTGTCTCTACCCTACAGCAACATTCGAAAGATTTTTTAGCTTACCATGCTCACCGAATTAGGTTGGCATGTGCGCTTTAGCAACCGGCGACAAATCTCACCGGAAACGGATCGAATCGATAACAAACAGTGCGAGCAAAGTACGAGTGCCTACAACACATAGCGGGGCGCCAGAATGGAGATGAAATATCCATCAAAATTAGATTTGAAATGCAGTAATACAACAATGGTAAAGTCAATGATGTCTTTATGAAATTTGTAGTCACTTCTGTTCTGCCGTTCCCTTCGCATTACAACACGGCCTTTATGAGAAAAATTTGCGAGGAAGAGAATGAACCCAATCCTCTCTTAGCCAAATCAGTTTGTTTTAGTTTTGTCTAGATCAATCATATCGCAGAATGATCGGTATGCACAAAATTGTCTTTGGCCCGGACTGACATATAACACAACTGTTTTTTAAGGAGTACCGCAAAACTTGATCATGCGGAAATATTTATTTTATTTACGAACTTGAACATCTTGGGATATTTACTTCATTTAAGAAAGTTAAAAAATAAATGAATAAGGAATTAGAAAAATAATCTTATCTCACCTTCACCGTGTAGCTTCTCACCAAATCATAATAATTTCCCCCTTGCCTCCATTTCATCGCCGTTGGCTCCATGTCTTTGTTAGCGTCGTTTAGCTCACAATTGTTTTCTTTGGAAAGAGGGAAATAGTTCATGGATACACACAGGCAGTCATCTTTGCACTTCAAGTGACACTGGATGGCGTTTGGGACTGTCAATCTTTCAAACACGTGACCCTCAAGAATTTGGTTATGGATGACATCGTCATCGATAGCAAACTTGAAGTTTTGACAAGTTACTTTTTTCTGTGCCTCAGTGGAGAGGGTCAAATGGAATACAAACAGCACGACTTGGAGATATTGTACGATGCCCATAGCAATAGCACTACTAATGTGAAGAAAAAAAAAAGATGCATGGTTATTTCTGATAAGCATGGGGTAATTTGGAACGAAACATATAGATATTTGGGTCTCTTGCTTAATTGCGACGGAAAGAAAATAATAGTTAGCAGTAAATTGCCAAAATTTTATTCGTTAGCCGAAAGAGCCATTACCATATTGAGACCTTCTTCTGAGTCAGTAAACGTTTTGAAAGACTGAAAAGAGTGTATCCGTCTCGCTGTAAAGTCGATCTTCACTACAGAATCACATATTTACGGAATTTTGAAAAGAAGACTAAGCAAACATTCAAGCCCAAACGAAATTGCTCCTCGACGGTTTGTGTTAGGAATGCTCTACAAAAGGAGCCGTAAACGTTCCCTGCAGTTTAGCCTAAGCTGAACACAGTTTATAAAGAATTGATTGTCAGCTCAAATGCGGATGTCTCTTCATTGCCCAGGTTACAATGGAGGGAGATATATTGGCAAATGGAACTGATATACAAAAAAATACACGAACGAGTAATTGCTGATTAAAAGTATGTCGGTTGCAGTTAGTTGAATGCAAAGCTAAATGTCGAAGTATATAAAATCTCAGTGAAACAGCCGCTGCAATGAACTTTATCAAAGACTGACGTTCATGTATCAAATCGCCCAAGTTTAAGGAGTGTTTCTTGAAACGTAAAACTTTCAAAAGTTTCGTGTGTGTCATTTATTAAAAAAAGCGTTTTGAAAATAAGAGACGTCTCAAAATGTTTTGCGTTACAAAACCAAAAAAGGGAAACTCTACCCACCATCAGTTGTTAAAAGATCCTCTTTCAGCGATGCACTTATGAATCTCTGTACTCTACAAAGTCAACTCTAAGAACGATTTGGAATGTATTATTCACACTTGAATATTTAAAAAGGGTCGCATTTTATTTTTTTACCATAGGAGTATAGGATATACAATATTAATGAAAGCTCTTAAAGTAAGCTTTCCTTCCATCGATGAATGATAATATCTCGAGTTTCGCTACACCTATAAATTTCGCAACCGTATGGCTGGTTTCTTTTCCAGCTTTAAGAAAAGAAATAGAATACAGACCAGTCAGCTAACAAACTCTGATCTTATGTTGTATCCGTTGACTGTAAAAACACATAAGTTCTGACTGTAGAGCCAGTTAGTAATTATTCACCGAAGTGGAAAAAATTAAATATTGTAGTCAATAAACCGAAAAACTAGAAAAACTTAAGTGAATTATTTAGGTTCATAAGTGCAGCTTTAAAAGGTGTTTTAAATAAGAATCGCAATGTTTTTCAAAATATGAAGACCCCCCGTCAAGTTCGACTTTCGAACATGGTAGCCCTTCTGTCGCGGTGACTATTAATGTGTAATGTTCCGAAACTTTTTAATTTTTAAAATTAATGGTAAAAGGGCGTCAGTTTTGGCCTCATTTTGCCAAGAGAACCGATATTTTGACGAGTTAAGAAGAAAAGCTACCCACATAAAAGAGCTTGAAAGCAAGGGGCAGAAATTTACTATAGCCTGTTTTATTTGATTTTCATGATAAGAATTCCACTTTTGACAGAGCAGATCACTTCAGGATATTCGTCTGCCTAGTAAATTGAATAAAATAGACTAAACAACTTAAATTTACCACATCTTTGGCACAGTGTAGCTCCTCACCTGATTATGGTAATTTCTTCCTTCTCTAAATTTCATCGCTAATGGCTTCATATCTTGATTGGCATCATTGAGCTCTCAGTTGCTTGATTTGAACCGAGGGAATAATGATTATATATACAAGCAGTCATCCTTACACATCACATGTAACAAACGAATGGTAGCAAAATAAGGCACATAGCTCCCTAATTATCTATAATTGTCATAATCACCTTCACAATTATCTCTTGGCCATGAATCAGAGATGAACGAGGGAAAGCTGTTGAAGTCATTGAGGTGCCTGTTCGAGTTAACCCGAGGTGACTACACTAACATGATTGTTGCATCAGTTAACTGCTGCTTGGAAAAACCTAAGATGAGTTAATACCCTGAACGTAAGCTTGCATGTGGAAATGGGCCCCCGAGGCTATTTTTCCACGTTGTAATTGATAAGTGATGGAAAGTTTTACGTTCGTTACACACTCAACTTATCTATATTTTCAAGCAAAAACCAATAATTGACCCGGTTGTTATTTGTCTAACTTGTTTTGATCAACACACTTTGCCAGTGATATTTCATTCGAAGTTTCAATGGCCCAACGATGTGTAAAGTTTCACTCATGAATTTAAAAATTTGCATGAAAAAATGATAAAATATCACAAAATCTTTCTCAAACGCTGACCCTTCTCTAGAAAGATGTGCAAATAAGGAACATAGATGATAATATTAGACACTTGTTATCATTGATACTTCCTCACATTATGTAAATTTTGAACAAGAACCGAATGATATGAATTATCCAAGAACGCATGCCATCCATTCACAGTTTAAAAGCGTCAACTAGAGAAGGAGAGATTAAGGTCAGACTTCACCATCGAGGAGTCTACTAGGGATCAAAACTAGAAGTATTAATAATAATAACGCTGAACTAGAATACAACCCGAAGCAATTTTACTGTTTCTCCAGGCATTATTGTTGATGTCTTTTTTTTCTGCAGTCATCCACCCCAGACGTAAGACAGGCACCCAGGCCGTAAAATGATCGTCCGTGCCAAACCGATAATAAACAGTACGTACTCGTTTGAAAAACTTCATGAAAAAGAATCTGTATATGGCAGAAATTCAAAATAAACACGAGTACTGTAAATCAAACATCGTAATTTGTTATGGAAATTAGTGTAATGAGATCATTTTGCAATGAAAAACCTTCACAAATGTTACGTCGTTAAATTTTTAGTTTTCGTTGCTTCTCTCTAACTTATTAAGTAAGTATGCTTGATTTAGAAGCCAGAAATAATCGTAAATAGTTGAATTAGATCAATGTTTTGTCGGTGAGGGATGTAGCCGCTTCTTTAACAGAAAACGATAGAGATTGTGTCATTATTTTTTTAGCTTTAAGGGGGCCTTCTGGTTTCCCCAATAAAAATTATAATTATCTTAGATAAGCTACCATTTTACACTCGGTTGTGGATGGCAACTTATTTCATCCTAAAAATACAAAAGAAATAATAAAATAACTTCCTATAACTTCAAGCTTTAACAAAAACACAGAAACTCACAATAACAAAGTAAAAATTTCGAAATCATCTAATAACTGAGTAATCCTTTATAGTTTCGTTATACGAAGTTTCCTTTATTTTCATAATATTCACAAGCAAATCTGTACACTAATGTTACACAAAACTGGACGGTCAAGCTAGGCTTGATAGTAATTAGCCAAAGAAGAAGGAGAAATTCGAAGTTTTTGTAATTAGATCAGTCTCGAAAGGGACTTTCCTAAATGACAATTTTGACTGAAGCCGGTTGGTGAGAAAGAGAGGGCATTTTATCATTAAACCACTTTCCAAATCCTTCAACCAGGTACATGGTAAACTCTTCCTCTTGACAACAGATACAAAGTGAGTCGTTTTCGACTTCAAAGATGTAAAGATTTCTTTGTGCAAATTTATGAAAGTGGACTTCTATCATCCTGCTGACTCCTGAGATGTATCTACAAGGCTGCAGAAGAGATCGGTTTTCGAGTTATTTTACCACAAATTTCTCTTTCTCTCTAAATAAAAATAACAAAGTAATATCTAAGGGTATGTAAATTGATGAAACAGCATTCAGGTGATTAAATAAAATGTGATGATGCCCCTTCCTATAGCTATCAAATCCTATACAAACAAACTTAGTGAAACTATGCAATTCAGTCTTCGTCTTAAGCTATGCAACTTAGTTGAATAGCAACTAAGACCCCAGTTGGTCTTTACCCTTGGTTGTTCTAACTCCTGAAGATAACATATTTCAATTTTTTAGGCTTTTTAATTTAATTTCGAACCATGTTATGTTATATTATATTGTGTATGTTACAGATATAAGTTTTTTAAGGTTCCTAGGGCGTATTTGAACATATTCGTATTGTAGCTTACGTATTCTAGCCATGAATTATTATTAAACTACTATCACAGCGCAATTTTGTTCTTGTTTTTATGCTTCAAAAGGGAGCCAGGATTGCATTAGCTTTGCATTTTTGGTATATAAAGCTCGGGCTAATCTTCTACCTAAGCAATGCAAAGCTAAAAACAATCACAGATTACAACGGTTTGCTTGTTAGTCTTTGAATTCTGAATGGTTCCCGTGATATCATATTTTGTTTTGATTGGCTGTCTTTATAGTTACGGTTTGACGGTAATGGTAACGGAAGTGGAACGGTAACGAGACTCAAAATCAATTTCTTCGATTTCAAAACAGACAATTTTCGAGAAACCAAAGGCCGTTTATGAAAAAAGAAACAAAACAAAGCAAAACAAAAAGCAACCACAACCAAAAAAGGTCAGAATCCTTAAAGAAAACAAAAACCTTATCTAATACTCACAACTCATTCTAGCTTTAGTAGATTATTGGAACTTAGAATAACCTATTCATGTCTAACCCCAAACCAGTACTGCGTTGAAGAAGAATCCGAAGAGGAGCAGCGGTGATTCCTATTTATCGCTCCGGAATGATACCGTCCAAAATTATTTTCGTTGTCAACGGCTCCTACAGATCCATCAAAGTCGCATTCTTTCTCCTTGCTTTTTAAACTGTTAACGAACTAAGCACCATTAAGATTCATTCTTGTGTAGGTGGTGCAATCAGAACAGTTAATACGACGGATGTTAATATACTTAAACAGTTTTCAATCTCCACCTCAGTCACCGAATATGTAATGATCTGCCAGAACAGCGCGTGCGTAGTCCGTACACCGCAGGCCATCTGCAGGGAAGTTGCATGTTACTCTCAGATGTGTGAAGTGGTTTGAGAGAGACCGCATAAGTGATAAGGAAAAGCGGTAACAGTTCCAGTCCGGTTCATTGCTATTGTCATTCACGGGGAAATCCGTGCCAAACCCCTTATCCTTATATGTGGCCTCATTGGCAAAGGATAACGACTGTATCAATGCCCATACAAAGCCAGGTTCTGACTGCAAGTCATAGTAAACAGAAAACAGTTTATTGGCTGAATCATCGTATTTTCCTGATTGCGAGGCCCCGTTGTTAGCTATGCAGCTTCTTGGATGTGTAATCTGACCACAACGCTTACCAGTGTATTTGTAAGAACAAGTACAGTTAAACCTGGGGCTGTGATTGTCACAAATCTCCTAACATACTCCTCCATTGAGGCAGGGATTCTGACTGCAGCGTCTATTAACGCCGCGATATTATCTGGAATGTAGCTTCCTCACCCTAATTGAAAATGAACTTTTTCTTAAAACTATTCTTTGATTAAAGTAAAGTCCAGCGGTGCAGATATTCATAAGTGAATTTGAGGGGAGGGGCGGGTGACGTACAATAAAGAATTGCTACATGCTTAACGTGCGTATATCAAGTTAGAGATGCACGCAGGATATAAGTTTTAAGAGCACGAGAGAAGGGTAAGAGTTGCTTGAGTTCTCTTCAAACTTCCCAAGTGCATTCATAACTCGATACACGCACAGCTAAAGTATGAACTGAAAAAATTTCGTTATAACGTAGCATGCAGACACAAGTTGTGCTCGATAAAATAGAGTTTATTTCAACTATGTCCGATTTACCAGGTAATCATGTTCTACCTGAAAACTATGAATAAATGAAAAGGTAAAAACGAGCAAGAAATATTTCGAGACCAAATCTTTATTCAAAGAATTGAACATTTTCTGCTCAGAGGCAAAAAACGAACGAATTTCTTGCATTTACGAGAGCACGTAGTAGATTCACTATGCTTGAATCGTTGTTTACTAGAATTCAAGGCCAGAAATTGCGTAGGTTTATGTTGAAGATTTTGAAAATTCTGAAATAATTGCACGGTTTTTAAAATTAAAATCTGCTATTTAATAATACTTTTAGGAGATATATATGAACCCTCAAAACTGATATCAACTATTCAAAAAGCTGAGCAAAAACTTACAGATGTCTCGCATCTACGAGACACTTGTGATAGGTTTACGCTGCTTGAATTGTTGTTTACCAAAATTTACAACCTGAAAATTGTTTGACTTTGAGTTAAAAATTCTGAAAATTGTACGATTTCAAAACAAAATCTTCTATTGAACAAAACTTTGGTAAATAACAATGCTTCAAAGTAATATTTTCCGTTGTAATGAAGAGTCCCCAGCGTCGCAAAGCCTCAGTTGAAGTCAGAATACTCAGTTCTGTTTTCAGCCGTAATTCCCATCGCGTTTGTGAATAAAGTATTGTCAACTCCGAAACTAATTTCGTCGCTTGAAGAGAAGAAGAAATGCTTATTGTTTCTCGAAACCAGTCTTATTCAGCATATTTTGTTTTCATTTTGAGCTACAAAGGTCTATCTCAATAGGGATAGAACGGAAAAATAGTCTTAACTGATAGTTTTGAATTATCGCCGCTAAACTCGACAGGACTTTTAGCCGAAGTGATACTGCACAAGTCATGTTATGGATGCACAGACGTGCACTATTTTTAGAGAAAAATGCATGGGCGCGCGTCGATATGAAATGTCGAGTTGAACACTCAGAGGGAAATTTCTTATCTACAAGCGACCATGTATTATTTTGTTTATCATATAAACACAATAGCGCTTTAGTGACGAAAAAAGCTAACTTCAATAATGAAAGAAAATAAATTGAAGAATTGACAATCGTACAGTGCGTTGGCGCTAAGGCTCAAGATGAAAAAATGCTTTGAATCGTGATTACAAAAACAACAATGGGCGGAATTTTAAATTTACAAAATTCTCATCTATTGACTTTTTACTTACCGACAGAAGAAGTCTTTCAAGCACACAGCCAAAATCCGCCTGTGACAAATCTTCCAGTTGTCGATTTCCGTTCTCAGCCACGACAAAGGCCATTACCAAAGTCACTGAATACGTAACTTTGGGTTTTTCTTTTCATATATTGGTTTTCTTTCCCTTCTAGGAAAGTTTGAACGTCACTCCCTGTAAGCTGTACGAAATTTTTAAATGTTTTAGCCGCCATAATCCGAGAAAGTTCTGCGGACAAACTACCTTGTATTGAGAATGTTGAGGGCTTTACCGTTCATTTATCAACCTGGCCGAGTGACGCGAAAGGCGAGTGATGTGTCAGCAGCTGATTGGCGTTATCAAACACACGTGAAAAAATATCGTATTTTTTCACGTGTGTTCTTACGGCTTTTGTCAGAGCTACAGATCCTTGTATAACATCGTAGTTTATATGATAAATAATGATTTTTATCATGGTAGCTCCCTTAGGATATAGGTAGGCCTTGCGCGCGCGCTATGTTGTGATAAAAATGTAAGTAACAAAAAAATAAATAAATAAGGCAATTCTATCAACAGCAAACGATTCTACCTCTCTCCTTCACCGTCTAGCTTCTCACCAAATCATAATAATTTCCTCCATATCATTGCAGCTTTTTCTGCGTCTTTGTTAGTGTCGTTGAGCTCACAGTTATTTTCTTTGAACAGAGGGAAATAATTCATGGATACCCACAGGCAGTCATCTTAGCACTTCACGTGACACTGGGTGGCGCTGTGGACTGTCAATCTTTGAAACACGTGCCCCTCAAGAATGTGATTATGAGTTTTGACAATTTACTGTTGGCTGCGCCTTATTGGTCTGAGTGAGCTGAGATACCAACAACATCGCGCGTAGATAGCGAAAAACACTCATGGCGGACCTTAAAAACGTACAAATTAGTTGGATATCTTAATAATTATACTAAGACATTTAAAAATGAGTTCCTAGCAATCAGAGTACACGTAGGGAAAAGGCAAAAAATCATGAATAGGTACGTGATCGTACTATGGTGGAACGCAGTATAAACGGCGCTTAAGACGTTCGGCAAGATCTTAACCAGCGCCTTAAAGTGTTCTCTTCTTTTGACGCGAAAGCGATTACGTAATACTTATTGACGAAGGGGCCATCGTTCTCCGGGGTCGAATATCTCGATGACAGGTTAAATATCTGATATAAATAAATTGACCGAGATTAAAATGAGAATCTAAGGTACAGTGTACATGGCGATCCAGATATATTATGCTATGTCCAATTGGAAATTACCTCACTTATCCTTACTTTTGCATCCGCCACCTTTGATGATATTTCAACTGGGTTTCTTTTAAGTTATTTGTACATTAAAGGAGCTGAATTTTTGGAGTGACTTTTCTAAGCAGTATTAGTATGCAAAGAGAAAAAAATAGAAAAACAATTTAAGGAAACGGTACAGAAACACAAAACTAGTGTCCCTGGTTGGCACAGTGTCGTTTCTCAAAAAGCGTCTCATCTTCATCTCTTGGGCCTTCATCATGCTGTTTAATATGGAAAAGTTTCACTCATAGCATAATACTTCAAAATTTGCCCAACAAAGCGACGTTTACGGCCAAGTTGGATCGTTAAGATCGTGCCTTTGTCTGCGGACAAATTTCACCCATTTTCCTCTCACAGTCGGGATCGTTCGGGAACTGAAACATTCTATGCCCGGTGGCGGAACGATATATTCTGAGAGCTTTGCTGATCAGAGCCGGGGCACCAGCAACACAATATCGCCCTCGTTGCCGCGTATCTTTCATACTATTCGCCATACTGAATTCGATTTTATGTTACCAAAGTGACGTCAGCGGTTTTTTCGCGCAATTCGAATACCACTTTTGAGGGGAAAATGGCATAACTTTAAAAGCTTCTAAAATCGTCAATTTTATCATTGAACGTTTCAAACTTCGGAAACGTAGATTTCAAATAATGAACTTTATAACTAGAATATAACTTCATCGTCACTTGGATTTGTATTTAATAATGTATTGCCAGCGCGTCCAACAGTGTAATATCGCTGTAAATCCACAAGCTTTAAGGAAAAGTCTGGAATGATGCTATAATAAGATGATGTCTCACATTATGTGCAACAATCCTAAATAACCTTTACACTTCACTGGTGCTTTTCTTGACAAACATCTGATCCAACTACTATACCTACTTCATCTCCTACATTTTGAACATTTCAAAAATTGTTTTATGAACAAATTTGCAATGTTATAAAGTAAGCAGTGATCCTAACGAAGCATTTAAGTACCTTAGTCCTTGTGAAAGAGAGGCTGTTGAGGGCTTCTCACAGTTATGCATCGAGTCCCTAATATTAAAATTAAGCAAAGCTGTACATATTTATCACTTAGGAGAAATTGATAACAACTCCCTGCCACTAAGTAAATACCATTTCTCCTAACTGTGCGGATTTTTTAAAGCGAAATCAAGAAACCTAAACTTAAAGCTTGGTTTTACTAATGATCAAACTAACGAAGCCGAAGCTAATTTTCAATTATCAGTAAGGAGAAAACAGTTGATTGACTGAGTCAAGAAAATATCGCCCTACGACTACAAAACATGTCATAATTAGATTAATAGCGTACAGAGTTATTTAAACATCTCTGAATCTAGACACAAGCATTTTTTAACTTACGATTAGTCACTTGCTTGAAAATAATTTGCATGAATCAACTAATGGTGAGCTCTGAATGCGTTTTCATAGACGAATACGAAAAAAGGCCAATTTTATCGACCTTTGGCTTTTAAGATGTAAGTGTACTATCTATTGAACATTACATGAAAAGATGAATGTGCAGGTAAAAAGTGTTTGTACAGAGACCGCCTACTTATTTCAACTATTCAAATATGGACGCTACGTATCTAAGGTTGCTTATGACGTCGCCCTTGTGCATGTCTACATTCTTCTGTGATAAAGGAGTAGTGTAACTATCTGAGATAATAAACGTTTAGGTCAAGTTCAGCTCCTAAATGGGCCAAACTTGGAGGCACATGATGTCATTGTTAGTTGTTAGCCTTGCTCCGATGTTTTCTTGCTTTCAGTTGGCTGTGTTTCCTTTACTATGAAAGAAAATGAATTCGCAAAAAGTTACACGTCACATTTAGCTCCAAACCAATGCTGCGTTGTAGAAGCAGGAGAAAACGAGCAGCGGTGATCCGGATTTATATACAGCTTGTGAAATTTTCCGAAATTTTTTTCATTGGGGACTCCACCTGGTTTTCCATTAAATTCACATCCGAATTGTGTACTATTGTAACTCCTTATGTGCCAGGACACATCTTCCTGCTGTTTTGTGAGGGCGGTGCAATTAGAACAATAGATTCCTCGGATATTGACATATTCGTACATCTGGCAGGTGTTCCAGGTACCAAAAATGTCATGACCTGCCAGCTTAGCGCGTGCGTAGTCCGTATACTGCAGACCATCCGTAGAAAAGTTACAAGTTGCTCTCAGATGTGTGGAGTGATTAGCAAGATACTGCATCTGGGATAAGGATAGTCGGAACTCGTTCCAATTAACTTTCCCCACTTCAATATCAATCTCAAAGTTTTTGCCAAACCCAGTATAATTGAAGGCATTTCTCTTGGACAAGGATAACGATTGTATTAACGTCCATACAAAGCCAGGTTCAGACTGCAAGTCACAGTAAACAGAAAACCGTTCATTGCTTGAATCGTAGATGTCGTATTTTCCTGATGTCGAGGCACCGTTCTCAGCTATGTCTTTGCAGCTTCTCGGATGTTTCATCTTCTCACATCGCTGACCAGAGTATGTGATAGGACAGGTACAGTTAAACCTGGTGCTATGAGTGTCACAAATCTCCTGACATACTCCTCCATTGAGACAAGGATTGGTGCGGCAGCATCTGTTGATGCAATGATGCTTCTCTGGTGCGTATTTGCCTCCACCCTACAGCAATATTCAAAGGATGTTTTAGCTCAGCATGCTCATAGAATTAGGTTGGCATATACTTTTTAGCACCCATCGAAAAAACTCACCGGAATCTGATCGAATCGATAACAAACAGTGCGAGCAAAGTACGTGTGCGTACAACACATAACGGGGTGCCAGAATGGAGATGAAATTTCCATTGCAAAGTAGATTTGAAATGCAGTAATACAGCAATGGGTAAGCCAATGATGTCTTTATGAAATTTGTAGTCATGTCTGTCCTGCCGTTCCCTTCGCATTACAACATGGCCGTTAAGAAAATAGTTTGTGAGAAAGGGAACGGATCCAATCCTGTCTCAGCCAAATCAGTTTGTTTTGGTTTTGTCTAGACCAATCATATCGCAGACAAAACGGCATGCACAAAATTGTCTTTGGCTCGGACTGACATATAACACATCTTTTTTTTAAGGAGTACCGCAAAACTTGATCGTGTGGAAATACTTATTTTATTTACGAACTTGAACATCTTGGGATATTTACTTTGTTTACGGAAGTTGATAAATAAATGAGTAAGGAATTAAATAAATAATCTTATCTCACCTTCACCGTGTAGCTTCTCACCAAATCATAATAATTTCCCCCTTGCCTCCATTCCATCGCCGCTGGCTCCATGTCTTTGTTAGCGTCGTTTAGCTCACAATTGTTTTCTTTGGAAAGAGGGAAATAGTTCATGGATACACACAGGCAGTCATCTTTGCACTTCAAGTGACACTGGATGGCGTTTGGGACTGTCAATCTTTCAAACACGTGACCCTCAAGAATTTGGTCATGGATGACACCGCGATCGATAGCAAACTTAAAGTTTTGACAAGTAACTTTTTCCTGTGCTTCAGTGGAGAGGGTCAAACTGAATACAAACAGCACGACTTGGAGATATTGTACGATGCCCATAGCAATAGCACTATTGATGTGAAGAAAAAAAAAATACATGATTATTTAATCTGGGGTAATCTGGAACCAAATAAATAGATATTTGGGTTTCTTGCTTAAAAGCGACCAACATTGATGGATTTTTCAAAATTAACTATGAAATTATTTTCCTTAAAGCATGAACCGTAACATTTACCTTAATTGCAACGGAAAGAAAATAATCGTTAGCAGTAAAATTGCCAAAATTTTAGTCGTTAGCCGTAAGAGCCATTACCATATTGAGACCTTCCGAGTCAGTAAACGTTTTGAAAGACTGAAAAGAATTTATTCGTCTCGCTGGGGAGTCGATCTTCACTACAGAATCACTTATTTGCGGAATTTTGAAAAGGATACCGGGCAAACATTCAAGCCCAAACGAAATTGCTCCTCGACGGTTTCTGTTAGGAATACTCTTCAAAAGGAACAGTAAACGTTTCCTGCAGTTTAGCCTAAGCTGAACACAGTTTATAAAGAATTGATTGTCAGCTCAAATGCTAAGCTGATTTCTCTTCATTCCTCAGGTTGAAATGGAGGGAGATATATTTGCCAATGGAACTGATATAAAAAAAATACAAGAACCAGTAATTGCTGATTAAAAGTATGTCGGTCCCAGTTGGTTGAATACAAAGCTAAATGTCGAAGTATATCAAATCTCAGTGAAACAGCCGCTGCGATGAGCCAAAATTTTAATCGTTAGCCGTAAGAGCCGTTACCATGGTGAGACCTTCTTCTAAGTCAGTAAACGTTTTAGAAGACAGTAAGGAGTGTAGTTGTCTCGCTGTACAGAATCACCAAATTGCCGTAATCCGAAAATATGTTAGACAAAAACTTAAGCACAAAAGAAATTGCTCCTGAACAGTTTATGTTAGGAATACTCCACAAAATAAGCTGTAAAAATGCACGGCAGTTTAGCTTCAGCTAAACACTCAGTTTAAATACCAAGCTGATTTCTCTTCACCGCGTAGGTTGCAATAAAGGGAGATATTCTGGACTATTCAGTCTTGATTTCATTTTAAGATTGGCAAATGGAATTGATATGAAAAATAAACGAACCAGTTTCAATTGCTCTACTGCAGTAATTGCCGATTAAAAGTATGTTGGTTACAATTAGTTGAATGCAAAGCTAAGGCCGAAGTATGTCAAATCTCAGTTAAACAGCCGCTGCGATGAACGTTATCATGATAGCATGTTTCTGTTTGACGTTCATGTATTTAAAAAAATCGCCTAAGTTTGAGGAGTTTTTCTTGAAATGTAAAACTTTCAAGACTTTCATGTGTGACCGTTAATTAAGAAAAACGTTTGAAATTAAGGAGAGATGTCAAAAGGTTTTGTGTTACAAAACCACAAAAAGAGAAACGCTACCTACCATCAATTGTTAAAAGATCCTTTTTAAACAATGCACTTGATGAGTATGTATCCTCGACGGAATATTCTCTAAGAATGATTTGCAATGTATTTTTCCTACATTAATATTTAAAGCGGATCGCAATTCATTGTTTACCACAATATTTGAAACATTGATGAACGTATTAATGTAAGCTTTCTTTTCATCGGCGAATGAAAATATGTCAAGTCTTGCCACACCTACTAATGGCTCAAACTTATGGCTGGTTTCTTTTCTAGTTTTAAAAAAAAGTATCAAGTACACACCAGTCGGCTACAAATCAAACAAACCTAACAAACCCTTATAATATCCGTAGACTTAAAAAAGCACATAAACTTGAGTAAGCAAAATAACCATTTATATTCACTGGAAAGTTCTCTCTGTAGGGGCAGTTAATAATTATTTACCTCTTATAATATCCGTAGACTTAAAAAAGCACATAAACTTGAGTAAGAAAAATAACCATTTATACTCACTGGAAAGTTCTCTCTGTAGGGGCAGTTAATAATTATTTACCAAAGTAGAGGTGGATATTGATGGAGATTATCTCTATTATTTTCACCGACACTCACCCCAGGTAAACAATTATTTTAGTATATGCCTGAAAGAAAAAAAACAAAGTTATTTATTTCAGTCAATAAACTGAAGAGGAGTCTGAAATTAAACTCTCGACGTGATATTTGTCTCTACGGCTGAGTGGAGCTGATTTATCACTTCCTAGCTAGCCAATCAACGTGTACGAAAAGCACTATTTACCCGTGTGGGGAAAACTAAAATGAATTACTTACGTTCATGACTACAGCCTATTAGGATGTTTTAAAAGAGAATCGCAATGTTTTTCAAAATATTATGAGCTCTCGTCGTGTTCCATTGGGGAACATTTAGCAACCCTTTGTTTCGGTGACTATTGATGTTAAATGTTTCGAAAATTGTAATTTTTGAGCTAAATTTTGAATTGGTCGATTTCAGCTCCGTTTTTCGAAGAAAAATAAATTTTGAGCCTTATTCGGAGAAATGAAGAGCGTATTCTTTTTTTTACAAGTAACGAAGAAGAGCTACGTACATAAACGTCCTGGAAATTGAAAGTCTAGAATTTACTATAGCCTGTTTTATTTGGTTTTAATGATAAAATAGATACTGTTTTTTATAGAGTAGGTCACTTCAGGATACTATTCGAATAACTAAATGTGTTATTAATAAACTTTGGTCCATACTAAACAAATCAAGGTAACTGTACAAAACATGGTGTTCTTCGAAGAAATATCCCTATGCAAGCCACCTTTACAAAGACCGAGCAAAAGTTTGCATAAATGCAAAGCTAGATATTCGTAATATTATGAAAATATGTTCATCTTGTATGGGTTTTTGTTTTTATGGCATTTGAAGTTCTTCAAATGCAGACTGTACTGTTGTGCCTATATTATTGAAATGCCAGCTACCGTGTTCCCACAGAAATCAAAACAAACTGCGCCTCGTAACTTAAAAGACATTGAGGTAAATTTTCAAATAACCAAGATTCATGCAGCAATTGCCTAGAGACACACAGGTGAAAATGAGGTTTTGAAAGACTCACCAGCGAAACACAAGGCTAAAAACCTTTTCGAAGAAATGCTTGCTAATAATTGTTCAAATTTTGCTGTTGGACGGCCTCATTCTTTTTCTCTGGTTTTTAGCGTGTACTTTTTGCCTTCTGAGGTATAATCATGATGCAGTAAATAACTTTTAATCGATACGAGGCAAATGCACCCTAAATTAAATAAGAGAAAATATATTCATTAATAGGTAGCCATTCCATGCAGTATTCGTCTTGGGAATAATACTTCCGTTCGAGAGACTGTCTATTCATTGTATTGTAAGTGAATTTTACATTTCCTACGGCCTGGACAAGGTGCCTCCTTCTCTATCCCATAATGTTCTCTTGTTATTTATCAAAACTTTTCCTCTCAATTTTTAAATTTTTTACGGATAAATGGAAATGTCGTGGATTTGCCAAAACCTAGAACATCATCCGAACTTCATAAGCTATTATCACTTTTCATTTCAGCTTTGAAACATGTATGGGTAGCACATGCCTCGTAATGAAATTTACATATTTATCTCTAGCATCCGTTAATATTAAAAACACGCAAATATGATCAAGAAGACTATCTCTTGAAATCAAATGGAACGTGGTGTCTTCAAGGGAAGTTAATGGTAACCAAACCAACTTTATTGTCTGGTCTGAGAAAATTAAATATTTATGTTCATAAGTAAGGTGGAAAAAGAATCTCCTGATAAACCCCTCCATTGAGACAAGGATTAGAGAGGCAGCATCTATTAACATAGCAATCCTCTTTCGCGCTGAATTTATCTCCACCCTACAGGAATATAACAGGTTGCTCACATAACTTTTTTAGAAACTGTTTTGAAGGAGTACTGGAACACTTGAACAGCTTGGGATACTTACTTCATTTACGAAAGTTCATAAATAAATGAATAAGGAATTAAATGAACAATGTTATCTCATCTTCACCGTGTAGCTTCTCACCAAATCATAATAATTTCATCCTTACCTCCATTTCATTGCCGCTGGATCCATGTCTTCGTCAGCGACGTTAAGCTCACAATTATTTTCTATGGAGTGAGGGAAACAGTCCATGGATACACACAGGCAGTCATCT